CGAAACCCACGCCCCCGCAAAACGGATTTCCAAGTTTTACCTCGTTTCCGTGGGGATTATCTTGCCGGGGGTATAATAGATACGCTTTAGCGGGCTGCTCCAACGTGTCTTTCCGTGTTTTGCGGTTTGCTCGAGCCGGCTGATCAGAGAGGAGGGAAGTTTCGTAATGGGGGGATGAACCTATCGTGCGTTGCGCTCGCGATGGGATCGTTAATTAAGTAATAGTGTGTGTTTTTCTATCGTTGTCGTGATTGACAGGGGTACAGGTCGATGATGGATTCTGGAAAATTAATTCATTGGGATGGGGGGGAGATGAAATAAAGATTTGTTGCGATTTGGCGCAATTTGTTCGAGGTAGCGAAGCAGTTTTTGAATTATTTTGCTCTCGTTGCAAGTATATTTTTCAATTATACATGTAAAAACTGTCAATTGTAATATTGAATGAACGAAACGAATCTTTAGATTATCGTTTATACTTGTAAAAATTTGAATTTGAAGTAAAATCTTTGAGTATGGTAAATTGTTTCTTGTTGCGTTGATGCAAAGATGAGGCGAAACTGTTCCGATTTCTTTTCGATTTCGTCGAATTTCATTGGAGATATGGATGGCGAACCGTCTCATAAATTCCGTCAGTCGTTTCTGCATCCGCAGTGGCTCGCATAATTTATCATCGATTATAACGATGCACAGTTTAACGCGTCCTTATTAATCAATTCTCTGGCTATTTATTACGCGACCGGCCAATTTGTAATCGTCGCTAATTCACCCATTATTCAATTCTATAAATCGCCTGCCCGTCAAGGAAACGAAGTATCGACACTTCCCTCCTCCTCGATATTTATCTGACGAAGAAGAACCGACTCTTGCGAGCTATCGTTTCCCCCTCCATTCTCTGAGAAATTCTTCTTTCAATCACGAGAATTTCTCAAAACTCATATTCCCTCTTCTGAATTCGTCCCCTTCTCTGAACTCGAGAAAATAACTCGAACCTGAACTATTTTACTCGATTTGATGACTTGGCTTGGTTAAGAAACTCGTAAACGGAACGCGAATTTCACAGGTTGCGTTCCAAGATTCAAATTTCTCTTCCGGATCGCGTTGACCCCTTAAACGACACCTCCAAGTTGCTCCCTGGCGCATCCTCGACATACTTTCTCGCCAGTTGCCGCGTCTGCAATTAACATCCTCTTCCTCCTCCTTCTCTCCCTCCAGAAGCTCCAAAATGAATGGTCGGCCACCACGGTATTGCGCTCGTAGCTCCGTGTGTCTTAACCCTCTTCGAGGAGGGTCGGAAAATCGCATCAAGAACAAGTTCACGGATTTACACGTCTCACCAACAACGTTACATCCAATTTTCCTCGTTACCCTTTCATCGCTAAACTTCGATTAAACGTTAATCTCGACCGCGTGGAAAAGTATTGGTCGCAATTGTTTTAACTGTGAAGTGCTTCACTCGAAAGTAAGAAGCGATATTTGAAGCTGCGATCATATCTCACGATGGTTCGTCTTCGTTTATTAAAGGAAGTTTCTCTCTTTCTCTCTCTCTCTTTAGAGATTTTTGCGAATCGTTCGAAGGTCCAGTCTAGATAAGAATCTGACGATCCAGGAGATATCATCGATCCTTTTGTTCTTGCCTCAATAGCCGAGAGAGAGAGAGAGAGAGAGAGAGAGAGAGGCGATGGCGTATAGGCTTAATCGTTGCGATATGGCGGGTTGGTGAGTAGGGTGGCTCGTGAATTCGAACGATTGTGGATACAGGTGGATGCCATGAGATATCGCGATTGTCCTTTGCTGTATCGTGTACGTTTGTTTGCCCATTTGTATTTTTGCGTTTGGAATTTCGTGTCTCTCCCTTTTGTTTCTATTGCAATTGCAATTACAATTGGTTGGAACTTTTACTTTTCTTTTTTACATTCGCGTTTCGTATCGGCGGATCCTCGACTGCAAATTTTCTTCCATTTCATTTTGAAGATTTTCCGTTAATCATTAATTATTACTTAATAAAATCGAATCGATACGATTGTTATCCAATCATACGTATTACATTTCAAATTCCATTGAAGTCACAAGAATCGGAAAAGAAAAAGATATCTCAAACAGGGACGGAATCCACATTAGAAATCCACCTCTCGTATGAAGTCATTATCGACTACCTTTACAAGACCACGACTACCACCAATCTCCTCGATCATAACCATCCACGGGGGACGGAGGAACACGAGTACACCGATCGTTTTACAGCCTCTTACAGCCTCATCCACGCCACGAGAGAAGACAACGAGAATCGCAACCAAGCTATATTACGATATTATCCATCAGCCCGACAAGATCCTCGAGGAAATAATTCGACCCGTCTGTGAAAAGAATCCCGCTTTCCACCAATCAACGGGAGCCTGGAACGATTATCGCGAGAGAGGAAAGGGGGTCCACGAAACGATTCCTCCGTGTATCTTTCACGAGCTGCGCGGAATGCGGCCTCTCTAGCCGTTATAGCCGTCCAGATATCCCACTAACGAGGGACGCGCGCTTGTAGTGTGATTAAACCGCGCTATAACGCAGCGGGACGGCCGTGGGTCGACCGGCCGCAATATGGGAAATTAAGGAATCGGCCACGCGGGAGGCGTTCGAGGAGACCGCGGCGCGAACCGAGGGATGCGCGTGGACCAACCAGTCTCTTCCCTCGCGTGCAAATTGCGTCGTTATAAGCGAATCTACCGTTCGATTATTCCTCGCGAAATCGGGAATTACGCGCGTGTCGGCCATCAGAAGAGAGAAGAAGAAGAAGAAGAAGAAGAAGAAGAAGGAAGGTATCTGGTGTCTGGTAATGGAGACGCTCCTACTTCCTCATCGAGGTTGAGATTTTTCTCTCGTTTGGATTGGAGATTTTCAAGGAGATGCGAGTCGTATCTTAGGAAATATTGCGTAAATGAAATTATTACGACGCTTTGAATTCGGATCAAAATCTGAATACGCGTGAACATGTTTCGTTTCGCGAGTTTAAATTTCCCGCCTTTCTTTTTATATGGATAAAATTTTTTCGAAAATTCTGTCGATCGTTCACATTCACGTGTTCCACTTCTCGTTTATTACTCGCGCGGAAAATGCACGATGAAATAAAGAAACCGAGGCGGAATCGCGGTTGCGATCGTTTAAAAATTATTTGCATACCATGGTCGGTGCCCCTTTCCTCCCCCTCGTCAATTCCTCGAGTTCCTTCGGGAGGGTAGAACGAACAAATCCCGCGAACAAATGGGAGGTATGGAATTCGCGGCAGAAAAACACGAGTCCGAGGAAACGGAAGAGCCGTGGGATGGATAAAGAGTAGGAGGGGGGAGGGAGGGGCAGAAGAAACATTCGCAATAATTGTGATTTACGATAGGGTTGAGAACGAAGCAAACCTCGTCGAGGCCATCGCGTTATGTAGAATTTGCTGTTCGTCGAATGGAACGGCGATAAACATCGCGTTCTGATTAATTATCGATTATTTATTCTTGTTATCGTTTGAAAAATTTATGAAAAAAAAATATATATATATTCAAGTTAAATTACTATTATTTGGAATATATTTAATTTTAATTCCATTTCTCCTCTTCGAGATCGGGTAATCTAATTTAATTTAAAATTTCAAGCTGGTTCAATTCAACTCCGAGTTTATGATAATTATCGTAGGTAATTACGATCTGAAGAAATTTCTAATCTCTTGTAATTTTATACATTTTTTTCTTTTTTTAAAATTCCAATCTTTCGAATCTACATCTATCTCCGATGGAAAGAAGCCATGGAAGAAACAATTTCTCGCGAAATAAATCACGAGATATTTGAAATTACTTTCTCGCGCATCCATCCATCCATATTATCGCAATCTCTAGCACCTCATCCATACACACCGCCGCCATTTATCAACAGAGAGTGAACAATTACCCGCATTCTCAAAAGGATTTTTTTCTCTCTCTCTCTCTCTAGAAAACTCGATCCAACATCACCGATCTGTTAAAAGGTATTCCACGAGCAATAAATAACCATACACACGTGCAAAATATCGAGAAATAAATTCTAGATTCGGCGTAAGAAAGGATTAGAAGAGCGTTTGGCAATGGCTAAGATTTAGAGATGACTCTCTAAATCTCTATCTCTCTCTATCTCTCTTGCTTTTCGTTCTTCTTGTATTGATGCCCGAGGGTAGGACGCAATCAGTGGCCTTGATTTATCGCGGCAATATACATTAAGATACCGACATTAAAACTAGGGGAGCCTCCCGTGGATTCCTGGCTCCATTACCGCTTACGAAAAGAGAGAGGAGCTGTCGTCGCCCGAAACGGTTTAGTCTATGCTGACGCACGAAGATTGAATCCCAGTTTCGATGTCCTCCCCCCTCCTTCTTCTCTCCCTCCCTCCCCTGAATGAATCGTTGACGTCGCATGTGCTTCCGATCCTCGTCCGTTTCCCAGATATTAGAGATCCCTGTGGAATGAATTTTCGTTACAGGAAGACGAATTTCTATCTGTGAAGGTGACATGAACGCGTCCATATATAGTCGATATCACGAGGAATTTTTTACAATTTGTATCTTTTGAAATACACCGATTGATGTCGACTATTCACCATTTAACACAGCTCGTTGGTTCCTACTTTTTAAACGAAGATCACGAAAGAAGAAGACGTTGAATCAGTATTTTCGAAATTTAACACGATTCTATCTACTTAAACTTAAACAATATCCATCATCCAGAAATGTAACTTTTTCAAACAAAAGGAAAAATTATATTTCTCTCAACTATTTATCTATCTCTCAACACAAAACTTTCCAAAACGAACTTCCGTCGAATGCAACGACGGACTCGTTCTCTTTTACACGATCTTCGACAAACGAAACGCTCGAAACATCGTTCGATCTCGTTCTTCGAACGAATTCGAACGATGTCACTCGAAGGGAACCGACGAGCTTTTCCAATACCACCCCGCCGATTACAGGACAGTGATCTAACCGTAGTAACGTGTAGTATTTCCGCCATTGTCCGCAGGTCCTAGCGGGGCGTACAGTCCCGACCCGACGATGGGCTACATGATGGACGGACAGGCGGCGAGCATGATGCACCGGCCGCCCGGTGATCCCACCTTCCACAATCAGTACCATTACCCGGAGTACTATGGACATCACTTATAAAGGTACGTGGGAAAAGTAGCCCTCTCTTCCCCTTTCGGTTGCGCGAGGTCACGTTTCGACCACGAACGGGTTGCGCGGGAGCCCGTTCATTTGATAATCGTGGCGCGGTGACGAGCGACGATGACGATGGAAAGATTGACGGCCGGAAACGAAGATCGAACGGATGGTTAAATTGGTTGATGAAAATGCGGGTTTCGGGGGAGGAGTCGAGTTCGTGATATCTTCTCGTATCTGCAATTATCGCGCGATGAACTTGAACTTTATTATTATTATTATTATTCCGTCTATTATTCTTGGATCCATTTCGATCGGAAGGATTATTTCAGTCTTGCAAATTTTGGAAAATTTTGGTCTCGTGCGTTTGAAAATTCTCTCGAAAAAAAGAAAGAAACGAAATGGATCCAATTATAGCATAAGAAACGGAAAAAAAAAAAAAAAAAAAAAAGAAAAGAAAGAAAAAGGGAGCAAAGTCCGGCATAATACCGTGGAAATTACCGTGGTCAGTCTTCGAGACTTCCGGGTGGCGAACGATCGGTGGCAAGAAAATTACACCGAGTCGAAGGGAGTCGTAATTTCTTTCCATCGTCCTCGAAAGCAGAGCGGGAAACGGTGGTGGCCCATTATTAATACGAGGCGATCTGTCACGTTCCAGCAGTAGTCGCAAATGAAGGTAGACGATGGAATGACGATTCTTGCGGAACGGGAAACGTAGCAGCGTGACGGAAGCGCAGCGTGCTCCGGTTGGCGTTAGAGCGGCAAGGTGCAACGGGGGCAACGAGGAAGCGATTCGCGTCGCCTCCGGCTCGTGATCGACGCGAAAGAGGCCGAGGAGGAGGAGGAGGAGGAGGATATTTCTCGAGCCGCGTCGCGGTCTCGTCGATGGAG